ATTTCAAAAATCCACTATCGTCTTAACATTATTTCTTAACAGTACCAAACGATACTCAAGTGCTAGTAAAAAGTAATGCACATAATTTCATTGTACCCGTGAACATAGATTCTACTGAAACAGTCGGGAACTGGACATTTTCGGGGGTCTTGAGAACATGTTACTGAATTTAAATTTGTTCAAGAAAGCCTAACTCTTTACCCCTCCCCCCCCTCCCCTACGCTGTCTCTAGCAGAGCGTTATCATGCAGTCTTCTCACTTGTTACATTTATATGCCAGACACTTAACCTGGTGAAATTAAATAATATACACTTAGCCCTGTGAAATTTAATAAACTATGACAAACATTTAAAATTGTGACATTAAATACTAAACTTATACTAAATGTTAAGCATTTAACCCTGAGTAATTAATCGATGTACAATGTCAAAAACTTAACCTTGTGAAATTAATCCATACAATGTCAAATATGTTACCTTTTGAAACTAATTAGTTTTTAATACTTGACGTTGTGAAATTAACGAACACTATGTCAAACACCTAACCTTGTGCAATTATATTTACCATGCCAATACTCAACCGTGTTAAATTGATTAATATACTATGTCAAACAATTAACCGTAAGAATTAAACGATTTCCCCCCCTCCCCCCTCCCCCAATCCCCCACCCAACCCTCCCAACAATAGCCTTCCCAGTCGGAGACAAATCAAAGTAGTACACCCGTATTTCTCCCCAGCACCCGCATACAAAAGCTCTCATCAACTCGCCTCTCAGCCTTGATCCCCGCCCTCCTCCCACCCAGCTCACACGGCCCATCACTCGCGTCTACTCACGCGCTCCCCACACCCGCCCCACGCACCCGGCCACTCCCTGAGACCCTCTCAGACCCGGGTAGCCTCCTCTTTGTGGTCAGCAGGTCGCGCCCTCTGCCGGCGAGGGCCGCCCAGGTCAGAGCAGGGGCGGGGCCGCGCGCGCGCGTGAGGTCAGACCCTAACAGCGCCAGCCGATCAATGGCCGTTGTGGCGCGCGCGGGGGAGAAGCGGTCATCCCCTCTCGTCTGCTGCCGACCACGCGAAGGGCCAAGAGGTGGGGGAGGTAGCAGCGCGCCAGGCCACACGAGGCCACCAGCAAGGGGTCGAGGTTATGGCGGGAGATGACCGGTCCCGTCCCAGATAGATAGAGACAGGGACAGGGAGATGAGCTTTAACGTTCTCTTCACACGGCTTTTCGGCCATCTAAGAAAAGTTCGTTGTTTTTTTCCCCTCGAGACCAACTCCTAGTATACTTCTTCTGTGGGACTTGGGGAAAAGGGCCGATCTCGGATATTGTATCTTAGACTTCACCCAATATTTCATAATTCAGAAAAAAAGAAATACAGGTTTCTTGTTCAGGCTTAACATTTATACTGATAAAACTATTGCTCTGATATTGCTTCTGGGGAAATAATTCGGCAAAATTATACTTGTTTTATTTAACAACTTGTTCCTTTTTCTGTTGAATCACGGTGGGCAAAACGCTTCTATTGAGCGGATAACTCGAGCACACAGTGAGCACTGCGAGAAAGCATTGTGTGCCACCAGATCTAACCTTCTGATCTTGCATCGCGGGTACGTTTGGTTTTTTCCTTTTTTACAGTTTCTCTCTCTCTCTTTCTCTCTCTCTCTCTCTCTCTCTCTCTC